TTAACAAGGGAGTTAAGATATGGAATTCACTCGATAATGAAATTAGCAGTATTTAACAAATATAAAACATTTTCCGTGTTGATATACAGTTATATCAACACGAGTGGAAATTGGGAAAACGAGAAATTGTGTGGAAACACGACGGCCGAAGGGCGGAGTGTTTTCACACAATTTTGAGTTTTCCCAACTTCCACGAGTGTTGATATAACGATATATCAATACGGAAAACATGTTTTATATTTGTTTTATAATATAACAATGTCAAAAGCCCAAAGAATAAGAAAAATTTCCGTGTTTACAAGCGGCAGAAAATTTCCTGTGTTGACATGGAGTTATATCAACACAGCTCTTAGCCAATCAGCGTTCAGAATTTACAAATGCTATAATTATAATAATAATTAAACGAGTTTCAAGTTGTCAAATGCACAAATTACTTAGTTGCCCGTTTTATGATTTTAGCATTATCCCCGCATTCGTTGCATTGTGGGTATCCGTCAATATCTTCATCCTCGGTTTCATTGAATTGAATTGAATTTTATTTGCCCATATGAAAAAGTTAATATTTACAATCTAAAGTATACAATAAAATATGACGGGCTAGGAGCCTTCATGAAACCCTTTCAGGCTTTTTGTTCAAAGGTCCCTAGTTCTATAATATTTTTACAATTGTTTTATATGGTAAGTTAATCATATAATGTCGAAAGAATATAGGAATATTTACAAATACAAGTATAAAGTAAGGAAAATTTTAAAGTAAAAGTAATATAATGAGCTAATTGAACAAAGTTTACAGATAATAACAATTAAAGTATATTTTACAAGAAAAATAACTTTGACTTTTTCTTAAAAGTACAATAAAATATATTATAATGTAGCATTTATAAATTCTGAACGCTGATTGGCTAAGAGCCGTGTTGATATAACTCAATGTCAACACGGAAACGTCGGAAAATTTCTTCTTGTTTTCCCAATTTCCACTTGTGTTGATATAACTGTATATCAACACGGAAAATGTTTTATATTTGTTAAATAGTTATTAACATACTGAATGTGGTGTCTTTTGTTCAACATTAAATGTTATGGGCTTCCATTATGTAGTTGTAGAGTACTTGATATACAGGGTGTATCAAAAAAAGGAGACCTTTAGAATCAAGCATATTGTTAAAATTTGAATGCCATTTCAATTGCACATATGCTGAACTGTGGTGCGTGAAATATTGATGGAGTGCATATATTAGAAAAAGGAGACCTTTAGAAATCAACCATTGTTATATTTTGAATCCTGGAGCACTTTGCTGAGCACATGGCAGATTGTTCCCAGGAGCAGACAATCTTTTGTTTAAATGTTATTTCAAATTCTAAAGGTCTCCTTTTTCTAATATATGCATAAAACCATAAAAACAAGAAACTGAGGGATAAGTTACACTACAGCTTAAAGAGTTCTTTTATTTAAGAAAATAAACAATTTCATGTCATATGCACTTTAAGGTTTTTCAAATAGTTTTTCAGTATGATCTAAATAAGATTTAAATGTCATTAGACAAACTATTTTTTTAACATTTATCATTCTACAATTCAATATGAATTCTACTTTTATATATATTTCCCTATAATAAATTGCCATAAATAAGATATGGATAGACTAAGGCGTAGTAGATTAGTTTAAGGGGTATTTAAATTTGTGTAGTGACATATTTTTGCTATTATTCCAGCGGACGTTATGACTTTCTTGGTTATCAGATTAATATGATCCTTCCAAGTTAAATATTCATCTAACACTATGCCTAAAAATGTAGTGTTTTTTAGTTGTATTATATGTTGATTGTTAATGAAAAGTTTCATCTCATATTTCTTTTTATTGGGAGATCTAAACAGAACTAAGTTTATAGATTTTGTTGTATAAATGGATAATTTTTAAAATTTAGCGATTCAGCTAATTTATTTCAGTTTGAAGGTTGCATTTAGAGTTTTAAGGCAATTAGAATGACTGTAAAGTATATTAGTGTCATCAGCAAATAATAGTTTTGAAACAATCTCACTACAGTTTTGAATATCATTTATATGTATATAAAAAATAGGAAAAGAAAATTAAAAATAAGTGTCAGTGAATCTGAAATGGCAGCTAGCTAGGTGCAGCTATTTTAATAATTTTACACGAAATCTTATCAATATCAATGTTGGTAGCTTTATTGGTTGAACTAGTTTCATATTAATCTGACATGGCAATCGAGAAATGAAAAATTTGTTGGCTCGAGCGGGATTTGAACTCGCATCTTGGGTATCTAAACCGCTGCTCTACCTATTGAGCTATCGAGTCAACAGGGATTGGTACCGAGTCTTATCCAATTTAAGTGCACGAAATATGTTTGTGACAACTTAACGCTTGTCTTAGAGGATGCACAGTGTTTCAATTCTATTTCAGAACCATCCTCAGAGATACGAAAAAGTAGTTTCATATCAATCTGACACTGCAATCGAGCAACGAAAAATTCGTTGGCTTGAGCGGGATTTGAACTCGCATCTTTGGGTATCTAGACCACCGCTCTACCTATTGAGGTAGCAAATCTTATCCAATTTAAGTGCATGAAATATTTTCATGATGACTTAATGCTTGTCTTAGAGGATACATAATAAATGAATGATGTGATTTACCATTGTAGGTTGGAATGCAGCAAATTCTGATGTAGCTTTTTTGATATATGTCTTAAAGTTGCTGGATGTATCAACAACAATTTATTGGAAGCATTCCCCATATACATAAATGGTATTGCCTACAACTACGTAACAAAATGACAATAAAACTATATTAAGATGCTTGTGATGTTACTCTGACTGTATATCCACACCGGGCAGGCTTGAAAAATATGCCTGGCCACAGTGGGAATCGAACCTGCGACCTTTGGAATACTAGCCCAATACTCAATCTGCCAACTGAGCTACGCGGTCAGGTTGGTTCGAGCATGTAATATTTTGGAACTGAGTCTAGTTCCTTCGATATCAGTATAATCTAATAATCCTGATATTTGCTGTTTTGGTATAATGTACTAAGGTGAATAAGTATTCCAAAGGTTGTAGGTTTGATTCCCACTGTGGCCAGGCATATTTTTGAAGCCTGCTTGGTGCAGATATACACTCAGAGTAACATCACAAGCACCTTAGTACATTACACCAAAACAGCAAATATCATGATTATTAGATTATACTGATATCGAAGGAACTGGACTGAGTTCCGAAATATTACATGCTCGAACCAAACTGACCGCATAGCTCAGTTGGCAGAGCACCGTGGCCAGGCCTATTTTTCAAGCCTGCCCGGTGTGAATACACACTCAGAGTAACATCACAAGCATCTTATTCACCTGAGTACATTACACCAAAACAGCAAATATCAAAACTATATTAAATTAGGCCTACAGCTATGCAATAACAGTTTTAACTAAAGCCCAAAAGTGTTATTTACAGTAAAGTAGTCCACCAAACTACAATGTCTGTGATATGAAACAACATTGTCTTGAAATGTGTTAAAGCAGATAAAAGGATCTGAAGTTTGAGGAGCTTGCTGCGATTGATTTGCTTGTTGCGTTGCTTGAAAAATGGCAGACTGGATGGCAAATTTCACATGTCGCTGTAATTGCACATTATAATTTTGCTGTATGGAATTTGCAACATCTTTTCCAAAGATATTGCCATTCATCATTTGCACTGGGAGGGGCCTTTGCTGCTTGTGCAAGCTTGGTTAAAGCTGTTGTTGCAGTTTGGGGTTTTTCATTTTGGTGGATTCTCCAACTTTCTGTTTCTGCAGCTATCTCAGAATCAATTTCATCAAGATCGCCATCAATAGAGCAATCCCCACAGGTGTTTTGGGGTTTTCAGATGACACAGTATTTGAAAGAGTTGCTTGGTTTGAGATAATGACATCTTCCAGAAAGGACATAGATATATTTGAAATCACTCCCAGTCAGTGCCTTCAGACTTCCTTATTTTTTTACCTTTTCTATATGTAGTTTGTAGACTCTACATTTTGCCTAGGTGAAATGATTGTCAAATAAGAAGCAATTTTATTAATATATAAAATGATTATTCCCCAATAATGACTACTGTCTGTATAAGACTTTCATATTTATTAACACGGTTTATACTAAGAACAGGGTAGGTTTTTGATTAAACGATAGTAGGTTTTTTATTATGTTGAAATAATTTCAATCTCAACTCAATTTCAAAAACTCTGACTTAATATTCCATAAACTCTCTCTCGATCTGAGCAATTCTAACAGATTTGTTATTCCCAAATCAATCCAAGGTATATATCACCGCCAATACAAAAAAATCATAATAGGCCGCTGGCCAATCACATCAAATGCTCAGATTACTTTGACAAGTTTTCTTTGTTGAGCCATACAGACAAACAAAATTTGTACCTTGACAATTTTTTCTATGACAAGTGCACTTGTTCAAATGCTAGCGGGAAGTCGATGAAAAGTCAGGTAAATTTCCAAACCCCCTAATTTTTTTCTCTCCTGTGTGCCCATGTACCAAAAACCTACCTCCACAAACAGTATAAATATTTTTGTAAATATAGTTTCCATGAACTCGTGCAGAATTTAAAATTAACTCAAACTGTGAAATTTTTACAAGTTACATAAATATAATATTTTGACTAATTAATTAAAAGTCAAAGAACCAGATTTAATTGTGACTAGCTAACTAATTAAAGTCAAAATGACCAATTGCCAATGGTTGCAACCTAAAAAATTGATTGTTTTAACCAATCAGTTTTAACAGTGAAGTAACTGAATTATGTATGGCCCTTTATAGCAGTGATGAAGCCAGCCTGACAATTTGGTCATGCTACATAAATATTTCCGTGAAAACAATAAATTTCTAAAGAAATGAATATATGATAATTATTTAAAATTTGCATAGCATGACCAATCAACGTCAAAAAAACGTGAAAATCAACGTCACCGTTAACAATAGTCCAGAGAATGTTGTGAATTCAGAGACGGTGTCAGGTAAACCTGGTGACGTAGTAGAATCTGCTACCCCCGGGAGTAAGCATGAACCGGAGGAAAACCTTGAATCACCAGTCAATTCAGTTAAGGTATTGGGAGTGAGCTGGAACGTTAAAACAGATACATCAAGAGCATTCAGATCTGGTGAAGTATGCCGAAACGTTGCCCCCTACGAAAGATCAGTTCTTAAGTTGTCTGCGAAGATTTTCGACCCTATCGGTTTGATAACACCCCTTACTATCCATATCAAGGTACTGCTTCAAGTGTTGTGTTCGTCCGACCACGATTGGGATGATGAATTGACGCCAGAGTTGTTTTCGTGGTGGAATCGACTGATAGCAGATATGAACGCATTGAAGAATATTCAAGTTCCTAGATGTTATTTCTCTTGGAGGGAAGGCGATCCAGTTGGTCATCAGCTACATGGTTTCAGTGATGCATCGTGCAAGGCATATGCGGCGGTAGTCTACTTGCATACGGAACATGCGAATGGAGACATTGAAGTGAATCTAGTTGCATCCAAGGCTTGTGTGGCACCCATAAAACGACAATCTATCCCTCACTCAGAATTACTCGGAGCCACCATTTTGGCTAGACTTATGAAAACTATTGAGAAATCTCTGGTGTCTTTGAGGATACCACCTGAAGTATATTATTGGACAGACTCGCTTACGACCCTTTGTTGGATTCGAAACAACAAGGTTTGGAAACCATATGTACAGCATAGAGTCGAGGAAATACGAGAACATTCTGATCCAACCCGTTGGAGATTTGTGCAAGGAGAACTAAATTCTGCGGACTTGCCCTCGCGAGGTTGCAATGCAAAACAACTTTCAAAGAATCAAACCTGGTGGAGCGGACCAGAGTTTTTGAAACATTCCGAGGAGAGTTTGCCTGAACAACCACTGACGAATGGTATAGATAACGAAGAAGTTGCTCTCTCAGAAATGAGGGAGACACCACCTACAGTTGTTCGATCTCTTGTGAACTTATCACGTGGCGAGATTTTAGGAAGAATTGATGAGATCATAGATTGCAAGAGATACAGTACGAAATTACGGTTACTGCGAGTGACACTGTGACAGCAACTGTCCAAAGATGCGCAAAGATCTGGAGACACGATGATCACGTGCCAAAAAACACAGAATTAATGGCAGAGGAGTTGAAGCAAGCAGAAAGAATGTGGATTAAAGCTATTCAAGAACAGGCGTTCCCAGACGAGTTACAATATCTAAAGGGATAGAAAAAATCACCGAAACAGATCGTGACTCAATTATCATTGTATTTGGATGAGCATGGAATCATAAGATGCGAAGGACGAATCCAGCACTCGTCTTATCAAGATGTAATAAAGCAACCTATCCTGTTACCATCGAGACACTGGTAAACAGACTTACTAATTTGCGAGAGGCACAGGACAGTGCATGACGATGGGATCCGAGAAACTGTGAATTGCATTCAAGAAGATTATTGGATATTACGTGCTCGAGAATCAGTTAAAAGAGTGCTCAAAAAGTGTGTCGTGCGCAAACGAATGGAAGGCAAACCCTTTGCAACCCCTAAGAGTCCACATTTGCCACCTGAGTGTGTAAGTGAAGAACCACCATTTACGAACACGGGAATTGACTTTGCCGGTCCACTGTACGTGAAATTACAGAGTCAATCCGGTAGCAAGGATTCAGAAAAGGTTTATATTGCTCTTTTCACTTGTGCATCAACGAGAGCAGTTCATTTAGAACTTGTCAAGAATCTGTCGGTCCCAACCTTCTTTCAAGCATTCAGAAGATTTACAAGTCGGAGAGGTTTACCAAGTACGATATTTACAGATAACGCCAAGACCTTTAAAGCAGCTTCATGAGAAATAACGAGTATATACACATTGAAGGAAACCGAAAAATATTTCGTCAACAGAGGTGTTGTGTGGAAGTATATAATCGAAAAGGCTCCTTGGCATGGCGGCTTTTACGAGAGAACGGTACGTAGCGTAAAACGTTGTTTGAAAAAGTCAATTGGAACTGGTTCTGTAACATTTGGAGAGCTCAGAACATTACTCGTTGAAATTGAAACTACCATCAACAATCGTCCATTGACATTCATCTATGATGACGAGGAAGGAGTATCGTATGCTCTCACACCGTCACATCTCATTTATGGACGTCAAATTTCGTCTCATTTGAATCACTGACATTACGAAGTAGTCAGCACAGTCAAAACTCTAATGAAAAGAGTGAAGCACCAGCAGCGAATGCTTGAACAGTTCACTAAACAGTGGAGAAAGGAATATTTACTCAGTCAGCGAAATTATCCGCGAAACCGTCAAAGGAAACGATTAAGATTGCTGATATTGTTATACTCAGAAATGACAGTACCAAACATGTATATTGGAAGTTCGGAAAGGTGGAAGAACTCATTCCAAGCAAGGATAGAGTTATCCGAGCGGCAAGAGTAAAGGTTCAAGGAGATGGTGGAAAGCAAGTAATTCTACGGAGACTGATACAGCATCTCATCCCACTTGAAGTCAGAGAGCAGTTACCAGAATCCGAATGCAATCAACCACCAGTTAACAGCGTTGAAGAAGAAGAAACTGAAGGTGCAAGACCAAGACGAAAAGCAGTGATAGCTGCGGACCGTTTTAGAGCTGAGTTATACAAATGATATACTATTTAGTGGAGTTAAATTTCTTTGTATCTTTGATCATTTATAGATGATCAACCCCGGGAGTGTTGTGAACAGTGTAATTTATACGTTTAACTTTCGAACATTTTGGCGGCGCACAATTTATCGAACTGACATTTCGCGCCATTTTGGTTGTTGTTCCATGGAGGAAAGGAGAGTAATCTTCTTACATTGTAGTACTAGCAACTTGTCAGGGACGATTCTTTCACATTGTTTGGATGCAATTGAGGAAGATGGAGGATTATGGCCATCACGTATCCGTGTAGACAGAGGAGTCGAGAATGTACTTGTGTGCGATGCCATGGTCGAGGCAAGAGAAGAGGGGCGAGGAAGCTTTATTGCAGGACCATCAACCCACAATCAATGTATCGAACAGTTATGGCGCGATGTATTTTGTTGTGTTCTACATTACTTCTATTATGTGTTTTACACAATGGAAGATGCTGGGAATTTATTTCTAGATAACCCGACACATGTATTTACACTGCACTATGTATTTTTACCCAGAATCAATCAAGCACTCCATGAATACCAAAGGGCTTTTAATGAGCATGGTATTAGAACAGCTAATAACTGGTCACCCAATCAAATATGTGGCTTAATGGCATGATGAATGAAGAAAATCCGTTGAAACACGATGGCCTAAATGAAACTCCAGACGATTTGCAATATTATGGATATGATCCTCATGCAACCTTCACCATTTGAAGACAGTGATAACAATGTTGTTGTTTCTCCCATTTATGAAACACCTGACACAGAATTTATGAGAGCTCTGCAGAGAGTAAATCCCTTAAGAGACTCCAATGATATGGGAATTGATGTGTACCTAGAAGCACTTACTTTAGTGGAAGAGTTGCTAAATATAGATGATACACAACAAATGTAAGCATTGTTAGTAATTATAACCCACACATTAACTACTTGAAGAAACAAAACCCAACTTTTTTATTGCATACAATAGTAACAATATACTCTTTACATCTGATAACACATAAGGAACCTTTTGAAAATGTTTTCATGATTCAAAAACTAGAAATTATACATAATTATTGTATTATATATACTGTATTTACCAGCAAAAGTACCAATATTAATGACACAGAAAATTCCATCTAAATGTAAAGCAGATATTTATACTGTATCAACCACAACACAAATTAGGCATTCAACTTTGTATGAAAATGTAGAAGCCCATTATAAACTTAACTAAAAGATAAATTATTTCGTTTTTACCTGATATAGCTAATTAAAAACCTTGTAATACAGCAATTACTGTAGCTTTAATTTATGTACATGTATTACTTGTGTCCAAAATATTTGCTAACAAAAGCCATGTCATAGAAATCAAATAATGTGTCATCATCTGGGAGTCCTACTTCAATTGTATGCCTTGATAACTGTAATTTGCAACTGCATGTACTTGCGGTAGGTATGAACGACTTGTTTTCAGGGACTTCATAAAATGCGACAGATGGTTTCGCTCCACGTTCATAGCCTAAGAGGTATTTCATCATCACATGTTGCAAATTGTAATATGTTATTGAAGGAAATACCAGTGCATTCACCATCTGCAAGAAACAATTTGAAATTAGGACAGCAATTTCACATTTATACTACCTATGTTGGTACAGACAATTTTACTAACAATATCCAGCAGTTCCAGCTGAATTTGTACATAATGTAAAAATATAGATGATAAAATTTGGTGAAAAACAAAAAAAAACGTATGTGTTACAAAGTACAGACTGTCTGGAAAAAGTAATGTGTAAATACTGAGGGTGCTTCCATCTTTTGTGTATCTTAGTCTCCTGTATTCCTTTGAAATAATTTGTTCATCAAAAATTTCCAGTGCCTGCTGAAAGTTCACTGGATATTATGGGCTTTAAATTGTCAGTCAAGCAATTTAAGATGAGAAAATTTACAGTTTCTGAAAAATGTAGTACATTTTTTAACAATTCATACAAAAACCAGATCCAATGGAAAATAAAATTAAAAAGAACATCAAAGGACAATACATGTCAGCAAATTCAGTTAAAATTTTATCGCTCAAATGGCATTGCATAAATTAAATGCAAATCATATTTGCTCTGAACTTCTTACTTGCAACCTTTCTAAGATATTTGACAAACACTGCATATACATCATTTTCAAACTTTCTTTTGTTGGAGCCTTCCTCACTGAAACTGGGTGTGAACAAGTTGACAAATGATCTTAAGGTCAGGTTGGTTTGTCGGTGATTGAAGATATTTAGGAAATTTGGTAACTGGACTCCAACCTATTAATTAAACTTCAAACACTCATTAATAATTCATAAGCTTATTGGCAAATCATGTCAACCATAATAAGTCATGCGTAGGAGTGTCAACCATAATAAGTCATGCGTATGTACTATTTAAAGCATGCATAGGAGTGTTTTATCACATATAGATAAAACGGCGGAAATATTGGAAGGTTTTATCAAAACAAGAGTGTCATCAACGTAACGTTTGTAGAATTTTATAGTACCATCGGCAATCAACTCGGAAACTGTTAATCTTTCAAATTCAGTTAAAATTATATTAGCTAAGACAGGTCCTAATGATGAACCCATAGAAACGCCGTCTTTTTGGACATAAATTTGCTCGTCAAAAGAAAAGGCAGTTTTGTTGCAACAATCCAAAATGAGTTTCTTCAAAGTGCGCTTTTTCAAAGTGGTTGCAATTAATTCGTCTTTATAAATACGATCTAGAATAATTTTGACTGTCCGGGAAAGTGGAACGTTGGTAAAAAGGGATTCAACATCGAAAGAAACGAACTGGTAGCCTTCTTGAAACAAATGTTTGGGAATGTTGTTAATATTGGTCACCGCATCAAAAGAATCAGAAAGAGAATGATCATTTAAAGTAAGAGGATTTAGTAACGAAGATAAAAATTTTCCAACGTTGTAGTGTGGAGTGTTAGTAGTGTCAACTATTGGTCGGAATTTAGGTAAAGTGTCAAATTTCTTGTGAGTCTTTGGCAAACCATGTGCTCTGCCAAAATGTGCTGTCATAGGTCTTAAAGCGTCAAGTTGTTCGTCAGTAATTTCATTACGTTTGTGAAGTTTAAGTAGGTAGTTCTGTAAAGAATGAAGTCTAGTTAATGTCGGGTCATTATCCAATTTCTTAAACTTAGAGGAATCAGAAAAAAGAGATTTGATAGAATTACATAATCAGAGCGATTAATGAGCACAATGCCATTTCCTTTATCAGGCTTAAGGATGGCAAAAGTTTCTGTTAGTTTGTTTAGAATGTTTATCTTCTTGCGCCCTAGCTTAAACTCCTTCAAGTCAAGATCAATATAATTATAAGTGAAGGAGCGAAGAGAGTTCTTAATCTTATCTTGTACGTATCTTCCTTCCTTGAAAATATCCAAACGTGATACCTGTCTCCAAACGTCTTCAGCCACAGCCATGATTTCTAGTTGGTTAGGTCGAGTTGCCAGGCCATATCTGAGTCCCAACTTTAAAACATCCAGTTCATCGGACGAGAGCGAGTGATTCGTCAAGTTCACAATTGTCTCGTTTGGGTTCTCAGTGATACCATCAGATGTCCGTTTCAGTGCGGTTAAGACAGAGAGCTTTTTCTGGTGTCTGCAAACAATCTTGGTTTTCTCAGAGGAGAGGAGGCGGTTGATGGAAAAGCAGATAAGTTTATATTTCATCCAGGTTGTGCGCTGAGATAATTGATGTTTAAGTTCAGTAGTTTCGGTAGTAAGCTTCTGAAGCGAGATTTTCTTGTCATGAATGGCGTCATTCAACAACAGATGCAGATAGCGTGCTTGGGCCTTCTTTCTCTTCATGCGAGTGATGTTCTTCCATCTCACAAATTTCGGATAAACTTGATTCTTCTTACAATCGAGTAAGAATTTTAAATCAAGTTGGGCTTTCTCGAAGCGTCGTAAAGATCGTTGGTAGCGTATGCAAAGCTTATGCAAATCAGAGTCGGTGCTTCGGAGATTAGTCCAAAAACCATGACCAGCCGACAATTTAAAAAAATAAAGTAAAAAACAAATTCCGAAAATACAGGACATCTTGAGAATTCAATATATAATTCAAAACAAGACGCAGTTTGAGACTGTAAATTTTCGACTTTATTTCAAAGTCATCTTCAGACAGAATGAAATACAATACTTTACAACACATATATATACAACGCAGAGAGAGAGCATCTGTCATGTGGGCGGAAAGAAGGATTATCCAAGCGAAGCGAAACATGATAAAGAAAATAGTAATAACTGAAAATGGAATATTTAGCTATATTTACAACAATGTTTAATATATTAAAAGGATTAAGGTAGAAAGGGAAAGACCCGACATGTAGAATAAGATTGAGTTAAAGTGTTATGTGAACAGTTGTAGTTCTTTACTGGCTTTAAGTCCACTGTTAAGAAAAGGTTTGTTGTGTTTGATAAGCAATGCTTCAAGAAAAGCAAGAATGTTGCCAGTAAAGAACTACAACTGTTCACATAACACTTTAACTCAATCTTATTCTACATGTCGGGTCTTTCCCTTTCTACCTTAATCCTTTTAATATATTAAACATTGTTGTAAATATAGCTAAATATTCCATTTTCAGTTATTAC